ATGTGGTGGAGTAGCAATAAATTGAGATGATACAGCAGAAGATGATATATAGAAGTTTTCATATTGATGACAATGGCCCAATCATTAATGAATTAATGGACAGGAAAATCTCTAGTATGGTTCTAGATCCAAGAAACAATGCTACCAATAGTGAAGAAGGTGACAGAGAGGTTACCGAAAATGAAAATATTTGGATTGGCAAGTTAGTTGGAATTCTCGACTCAGCAATTACAAGACTTTAACAAGATATTATGCCTATGTACTGAATTAAAGAGAAAGTATTAACAAAACAAAAGAAAAAAATGGGTAGAGTTGACTTTAAGGTACCCCTTCCATTATCGCGAAGTTGTTGTTTCATATATCGCCAAGTTGTTTTTTCGTTTTTCTCCAAGTTGTATCATTTATGATAACCTGAGTAGTTGAACACTATGGAAACCCTATTATGATGTAATCGTTTGCATTATTCTGGGAAATTTTGAATCATGGGATGTTTTGCAAAGGCTTTTGTGGTATGTGTTGCTTAGGAAGTACATTGCTTGTTTTATTGTTTAGACGGTACAGTGGCTAAATGTAGTAGAATTGATTTGCAGTTTCTGTACGATTTGGGATAAAAGAAGAAAACTGCATTAATTGAGTGAATTAATTGTGTAAATGAAGGTTTACTTAGTAGCCATAGTCCGGAACTACGTAGTATATTTTTTACTCTTATTTTTTTAAATTTCTGTAGCGATGCTGATATACGGATTGTAGTTCAGATAATTTTAGGAAGTTTTTGGATGCTGTTAAGGAATTTTGTGTGCCACAGACTGAAGACAAATGAATTTCTAAATAAGGTAAGGGGATTTATGCTTTGTGCAGTGCTAAAATACATAACAGGTTTTTCCTTTTTTGTGCTATTTTATTGTTTGGTTTAAAATGTAGCTTATTGAGATTATGTACTTTTTATTTGCCTCTACTGTAGAATTGGGTGCTCCTTTGACTTTTTAAGTGAAAATATATCGATGTGTCCATGGACAAACTCAAGGGAGTGCGTAAAGCATAGTTTGTGCAATTCAGGGTTTTTTTTTTTTTTTTTTTTGAGTGAAAATAGGTTGATATGTACATGGATAAAGTCAAGGGAGTGCACAATGCCATTCTTGTGCAATTAGAGGATTTTTTTTTAAGTGAAAATAGGTCGATGAGTACATGGATACCGAGTTCGTGCAATGCTTTGACTTGTTATTTTGGCTTGCATAGCGGCAATTTTTTTGCCAAAAATTGCTCCTACACAGGCCAAAATAACAAGTCAAAGCATTGCACAAACTCGGTATCCATGTACCGTCAAAAATCGCCAAGTTTCACCAAGGGGTACCCTAAAATATAGGTAAAAGTATATTTTAAGGTACCTCTAGGCGATTTTTGATGGTACCTGGATACCGAATTTGTGCAAGTCTTTGATTTGTTATTCTGGCTTACATACTTGTTATTGGCGACAACATACAGTGTACGTATAAAAAATGGGTTGATCTTTACAATATGGTAACTGGTAGTTTGGCGACATTTTGGAGGCGATAAAGGTTACTACCTGGGACTTTGGTACTAATGTGAGCAGTACTCAGTTCCGATTACGCATTATTTTGTGTGAGGGAAATGAGAGATCATGGGATATGTCATGGGATATTAATGGACGAATTACGGTTCTTTAATCGGAAAAAGGGGGAAATTAGGAAAAAATCTGGAAATTTTGTATTTGCCTTTATTCTGTGTTGTGTGAAACAGTGTTGGTTAATTTTTGGATCCCATGGCCGTAACTAAAGTGAATTCGAAATGGGTATTTAGTGGTATTGAAAAGGGTAGTAATAAATGTTTGTTTAAGGTTGTGCGAGATAGAAATAAAGATGTTTTATTAAGTTATTTATTTTACCTGGTACCTTGCTGTGAAATATAAGTATGATTTTAAAGATCCTGAAACAGAAAGAAGAAAAGTTTATCGGACACATAATCATATTGTGCACGTAATCATATTGAGTATGGTATTGTGCACTTTTTCCCAATTTTGCAGTGAATATTTGTCATGATTAAGCAGTTTTGTTTGATAAAATTTCTAACATAAGTGTAATTCGGCTAGTAGATTGTTGGAAGAAGTGTTCAGTAGATAAAAAGAAAAGAAACATGTCTTTACTTCGTGAAGACAAAATGGCGGCGGGGAAAAAAAATAGAGGGTTGCTGTAGGAGAGTTGGTTGCCAAATTTTCGCCAAAAAATCGCCAAGTTACCATAATGTAAAGATCAACCAAAAAATGTTAACAAATGTTAGTTCTAAGCATTTTTAACTTTGAAGGCATAAATATTTAATATTTAAAATTTTGTAAAAAGCCAATAAATTTGTAAAAAGGTATCAATTTAAGAATTTATGCTTTCATGGTTCAACATTCCATTTCGCCTTTTCATATCACGTAAATTTACTAAATTTAAACTGATGATCTAATATCAGGAAAAATGCAGATCCGGAATAGCCAAAGTCCCATCGAGTCTAGATCTCCGACTTTGTATTGTATTTACAGCAAACAGTGAAAAATATTTTCACAATACTTCTGCAAAATGACAAGTGTTATACTTCAGATAAATCTTGTCTGTATTTACAACTATGCATATAAAGTTGTACAGAATGCTGAACTAGTCTATATATATCTTACATTCAGTTCGTGAGAATATAATGAAAAATGTATTCTGTCCGAGCAAAAATAAACTCAAACACATAAATTTTTAAATGTTACTGACTAAATATTAAAATACCCACTCATGAGGTGTTAAATAAATAAAAAAAAAAACCTGAATTATTTAATTATCAAAGCATTTACAAACCTTCTCCCATACTTCTATTTAACACATATATTAATTAGTATTAAGGGGGTAAAAGCATTTAAAATATAAAATTTGAAATATTTATATCTTGATTACTTCAATATTTTTTACCTATTTCACCCTTAAGGTAGTAAATAAATTATAAAATTTATGATTATAATATTAAAAAAAAAAGGTTTATTAAATAAAAGAAACAGGTTGAAGTACAGCAATGTTGCTTAAATAAATTCCATGAAATAAAATTTACCTGGCAAAATTTCTATAAAAATCTTGCTGTACAAATACATGCTAAGGATTCTAGAAAAAGGTGTTCCTTGAATTAAAACGATAAAATGGTGACCAAGTACCAAATATTGCTAGTTTCAGTTCCAAAGTTGCATTATTATGGGAATGATACGAGACAATTTTCTTTATACTTCAGATACTTGATAACTTTTGACAATGTTTGAAAACTGTGAAAGTTGCAAGTAAAACTAAGACTTTTTTCTTTTGTACACAGATGTTCATGCTCATAAGGTGTGCATTTTTACGGTTTAATCCTAGTATCCGGTTCACACGAAATTTGGCTACTTTTGGTGACTTTATGATAAGCAGCAAAAACCGAACATATAGCAAAAACGGGACATATACGATGAGTAGTAAATGGGTCATTCAAAGAATATATATAGTTATACATAGTATATACTATGTATATACACACATAGTATATACTATAGGGTTTTCATCCGCAGGGAACCCGTTGGCGCCATTGCATTTTTACTCACCAAGCTCGCGGTTCATCGACGATGATCTGAGCCGTAAACAGATTCTTTGCCATAAACGTGATATATTGTTAACGTGATTTTTAGTGCATGTAAATTCAAGTTAGCAGACAAAACAATATATTAAGCATGTGGTAGTAAAAATTCACAGATAATAAGCATGTACATGTAAAACTAATCGGTTAAACGTGATATATTCATTTAAAAATATAAATTAGTATTAATGTACTGAAATTAACCAGTTAAACGTGATAGAAAAAAAATTGTCTAAAATTCCAGTTAACACAGAAAACAATATATTTCTTACACCAGCAGTGGTTTGCTAATTTTGATAACCATGGTGATGCATCAAACTATTCTGTCATCTTAGATAATCAATAATATTTTTGATTTCAATTTAATCATCTATTTATGTCACACCTGCCATCCTCTGAAAGGTTATTGTTAAAAAAGCATTAACATTATCTCGTTAAAATTTTACACCATCAAAATTGATTTATTCTCATAATTTTAGATGACAATAACTAATAATAAAAATAAAAGCATTATTTATTTATTTAAAAAGCGCATGCACATTTTTGCGGCCTACGGTGTGTGTGTGTGATTATGGCAAAGCCTCGAGGGCTATCTGCCTAAGGGGAGGGATGCCTTCGTGGAGGACTTTCTAAGGGAAACTGGCTCGTATACACGTTACACATGGGGAAAACCACGAAAACGCCCATGCAGCCAGCCCTTTCGTGGGATTCGAACCTCAGACCGAACTACCAGTGTTCAGCGACTTTACCGCTCGGCCGCTGGTGGGCCTTTTGCGGCCTACGGAAACAAATTATTTTTAGAGGTTGGAAACCTCATGATTCTGCTCATGGTTCTTAAGAGCTGTTAATAATTAAGTACACAACGTGAACAGCCTTGTTACAAATTAGCATTCACCCCTCCCGCCGTATTTTCTTCCTTTCATCCCCGAGGAGAACCGGCATCTATCTACGAAAATATTTCTATTTCTATTTATTCATTGTTAAAAAATTCAGAAAAATAATAATAAATAAGAGAAGAATAATATAAATCTGAATCTGCAAATGCGAACAACAACAGTGATAATTCAACAAAATGAACGCAAGAGGAATGGTTGCAAACTTCGAACAAGCGAATAGGATAAATCTGCTGGGTTACCAGATTTGAACTATTATCGCCAAAGTTGGCAATGTTTACATTTACCAGGTTCTCTGCGGAAGTGCTTCCTATACTGTATAGTGTATTGATGTTCTTTGGATCATTTTTGCTGTTCGCGATAATTTTCAAAATCACGCCAAGGCTGCACCGTATACTAGGATTGAACACCAGATAAAACACATAGGACAGTTTTTAAATAAATATCTAGTATATTTCAGTTTCTCACCTGCTTGGAAATGATATATCCGTAGTGACTTATTCCTTTAAATTTCTTCTTAGGTACTTCACTCTCATTAGGTTGCTCTACTTGCTATGGCCAGGATTTGAATATATTTGAGACCTCGTTTTCCTTCATCAGTATAATGTTATAACCCTATACTGGCCTTATGAATGTTATGCATTTGACACATTTGATATTGCAGCTGGATAGTAATACTGAGAATAATATTTTCTGATAATTCCTCTACTTGGCTAAAAAGGATGTAAAAAAAATGAACAATGTCATTTAACTGCAGGTCTTTAGTATTTCATCACAATAAAACCCATATGAGAAACAATATTTTGCCATGATTCAGAATCGCATATGATCAAGAAAATGCATTTTGAAAGGTCACAGATGTAACACTGAGCACATACGTGTTATACAAAAACTGTGAAAATTGCAATCCTGTGTCTTTGGAATAAGTAGAATATATGCAAATGACATCAGTCAATGATGTCATTTGTAGAACAGCTGTTCAATCAAGATTGGTATAAGCATATTTAAACCCTTTAGGACAGGATAGTAGCAAATGTAGCTTCAATTTAACATTACTTAAAACAGACTTGAGATATACCTTGCATAAATGAAGGTTTACGTTTTCCAAAAAGAAATAAACGGTTTCTTCCTTATCTTTTATCAAATGACAATTTACAAACAGCACACAGGGTCAGCAGTAAGTTTTACATCACACATTATAATGCCTTTAAATCTAAAATTCTGCTACTGAATGCCTCTCTAAATTCCAAGAATTGTGCTACCACTAAATACCGAACATCTTCTGAAACCCATTTTTGACTCAAAAACTGAGGTCTCTTTGCTGCTGGACACATCATTCCTACACTAATAATTAAAGGATGATACCAATTTAACATCTCTGCAAAAGGCAGAAGATTTCTCTTCTTGTACAGGTACATATATGTCTTCAAATAATTCTACTATCCAAATGAATTATTACATACATAACATGACAGATTTCTCTCTTCTGTGGATCTGCATATTTTACTCATCCTTTATAAAAGTTAATTTTTAAATACTTCAGACACAAGTTTTCTCTGCTCCATGAATATGCACATTCCTGTTAAATTTACCCTTCTGATTAAAAAATTTCTTATATTCTACACAAAGACATTTTACACAAGAGGATTTTCACCTGTGTGAATAAGCATATGACTGGTTAAAGTAACCTTGTGCCTAAATGACTTCCTACATACTTCACACACATGAGGTTTCTCTCCTGTGTGAATAAGCTTATGAGTCTCTAAACTACCCTTCTGACTAAATGACTTTTTACATACTTCACACACATAAGATTTCTTTCCTGCATGAATAAGCATATGAGTGGTTAAACTATACTTACGACGAAATGACTTCTTACACACTTCACACACATGAGGCTTGTCTCCTGTGTGAATAAGCATATGACTGTTTAATGTAAACTTGTGTTTTAAATGACTTCCTACTACATACTCACACATGTGAGGTTTTCTCTCCTGTGTGAATACGCCGCATATGCAGTGTTTAAATAACCTTTTCTGACTAAATGATTTCTTGCATACTTCACATATATGAGGTTTCTCACCTGTGTGAATATGCATATGCAGATGTCTAAATTACCTTTTCTGACTAAATGACTTTCTTACATACTATCACACATATAAGGTTTTCTCACCAGTGTGAAGTAAAGCATGTGCCTGTTTAAATAAGACTTCTCAGTAAATGACTTCTTACATACTTCACACTCATGAGGTTTCTCTCCTGTGTGAATAACCATATGACTGGTTAAATTAGATTTACGATGAAAGGACTTCTTACACACTTCACACACATGAGGTTTCTCTCCTGTGTGAATAAGTATATGCTTGGATAAACTAGACTTAAGACGAAATGACCTCTTACATACTTCACATACATGAGGTTTCTCTCCTGTGTGAATAAGTATATGATTGTCTAAATGACCCTTCTGACTAAATGACTTTTTACATACTTTACACTCATGAGGTTTCTCTCCTGTGTGAGTAACCATATGAGTGATTAAAGAACCCTTTTGACTAAATGACTTTTTACATACTTCACACACATGAGGTTTCTCTTTTGTGTGAATAAGCATATGTCTGTTTAAATAAAGCTTCTGACTAAATGACGTCTTACATAATTTACACACATGACGTTTTTCTCCTGTGTGAATAAGCATATGGCTGTTTAAAGCATTCTCCTGATTAAATGACTTCTTACATATTTCACAGATATAAGGTTTCTCTCCAGTGTGAATAAGCATATGATTCTTCAAATCTCCCTTATGTCTAATTGATTTCTTACATACTTCACACACAGGTTTTTCTCCGGTGTGAATAAGCATATGAATCTTTAAATAATACTTCTGTCTAAATGACTTCTTACATACTTCACACACATGAGGTTTCTCTCCTGTGTGAATAAGCATATGAGTGATTAAACTACACTTGTGTTTAAATGAGTACTTACAAACTTCACATATATAAGGTTTTTCTGCAGTGTGGATAAGCATATGCCTGTTTAAACTATGCTTATGACGAAATGACTTTTTACATACTTCACACATGTAAGATTTCTCTCCTGTCTGAGTAAACACGTCCATGTTTAAATTAAACTTTTCATTATATGACTTCTTACATACTTCACACGCACATGGAAGGCTTGTCTGTTGTGTTAATAAGCAAATGCTTATTTAAGTTGCCCTTCTCGCAAAGTTATTTCCTACATACTTCACACATATACGGTTCGTCTCCTGTGTGAATAAGCAAATGCTAATCTAAATTAATAATTTATATAAATGTATTCTTATGCACTTCAGCCATGTCAGGCTTCTCTCCTATGTGAATTAGCATATACATGTTTAAATTACCTTTTCAACTAATTGAAATCTGACAAATTTCCCACATATGAGGTTTGTGTTCAGTAAGGATCTGCATGTGCTCTTTTATACACAGTCTCTTAAAGAAGATGACAATTTGTTACACATCTCCCAGAACATATAATCTCTGCACTAAATTGGTAACTATAACTTACATTCTTGATAGAATCCGTGGTGTTTGATATCTCACGTAAATACGTGTGTTTATCTTAATAAATGAATCAATACAAATTATTCAAGAGACATAGCAGCTGTTTGACATTAGAATAATTTATGAATACTTTTATTTCTAGGAATGTTTCATTAAAAATTAATTTCTTATGGTCCACAAAAATACGATTTCTTGCTTGAGCATATAGACATGTTTCTTTAAGCATGAATTTATGAAATTCTGTCACATACGATATGTTACGACTACCTGAATTTTTTTTTTTTTTTGTAGTTGCTAAGCCAATGATTTATAGCTTGAAGAAGTTACATGTTCTGTTAGACACTTAATAATAATTGCTACAGCTTACAAACTTTTTTTTTAGCTTTGAAATCTTACAAGTATAAATCACACTTCAGCATGAAGCAGCTTTTAATTAAAAACTCGATCACAGTCGCTATCGTTAAGAGATTATATCTGCGGTGATCATTCAGACAATAAAATCAATTTCAAGGAAAACAAACATTATCACAATAGAAAACTATTCCATTGCTATGTTGTCGTAAAACTTGAATATCTATAATTGTTTCCATGTACAAACTACTAAACTACGCCAGCAAAATGTAAAAGAGGCTTGCTCATGAGCCAGAAATTATAAAATACCAAAAAAAGCATTAAAATAAATTATGAAAATGAAAATCGTCCTTTCATACACTAGGTAACAACTACATAAGATTTTTAGCCTATAGATCAGGTAAGGTCGGAGGCCGCTCACATTTTAATTTAAAGTTCAGTTAGGGTGCCGTAGCACACAGATCGTATTTTATTCTCGAGTGTCAAGATGTAACCGCGCTTGCAGGCGAAATCGAAGAGGTAGCAGGAAAGAAATTCGTAATTGTTAAATTAATTCATATTAAAACATCAGTAAGCGGTCATAAAAATTATGCGTAGTTGCTGGAGCAGTGTATCATAACGAGGAATTGCGTCGACTGAAAATGAGCATGGATACGTGAGAGTAGCTAAAGTTCACGTGACAGAGAGTATGAGCATGGATACGTGAGAGTAGCTAAAGTTCACGTGACAGAGAGTATGAGCATGGATACGTGAGAGTAGCTAAAGTTCACGTGACAGAGAATCTTGTTCGGAATGGTCATTCATACAAAAGTAGTAAATCAATTCTTAAACAATTCACTAAAGTCCATAACCCCTTGACAACATGAAAAAGTCACTTAAATAAGCATTTCTTTAGCATAATTATTTTTAAAACTGGAATATTACTTTAAAAACTTTTTAAATAAATTATGTATACTTAACCATAAATATAGTCAAAACACGGTAAGTGAATATTTATTAATTTGTATTATCCATTTGTATATATTGCATTTAGTCAATACAACTGTTCTTCTACATACAAACGATGGTTTACTAAAACAATAATATTCCTTTAATTTTCAGTTGTTTGCATTATTTTATATACAGGTGTTTTGTACTGTGTTATATTCAAGCTTAATATTTTAAAACCTCTTGTCCTTCATCTTAGGCAAAGCTGATCTTGCCTTTTCCTTCTGATAAATATCGACTGCTGACGACGTGCTGCGAGGACGTAAACACTTTTTTTTTTCTTTTTTTTCCTTCAAGTGTTATTCTCAATTTATGCACGCTCTATTTCTACAAATTTCAATTCCACGCCTTCCCGCCATCTTGAGTCACCAGCTAGAACCACCAATGTCAACACTTTTGATTACGCCGTATCGGCGAAGAGTTCACCACTTGTATTTCTTTAATTTTTTATTATTTTTATATTTGCCAGCGCCTCTCAGGGCAATCTTCCAAAACTATGGGTAAAAGCAGCGATGTTCACACCCTCTGCATCATCATGTCACAAGTACAAGTTATCCTACTTACGCCCACTCATTATTACCATTTTCTCTATCGGAATTTTTTGGTTGCCTTTTTATAAAATTTCCTTTTAAATTTTACCCCTTCATAACTTACCTTGAAGTATGTTACCAATCCTTGCAGGTGCCGATGACCTGTAATAGTTCATAAGGGAATATCAGCGTCACTTCATACACCATTTTTAATCCGATGAAGGCGTGGCCACCTTTTAGAAAGCGGCCTACTTTTGTTTATTTTTATTTATTTTTTTCTACGTATTTCTCTTAACTGAAAAATCTTCTCTCTACCGCTTTAGCTTTTAAGAGGATTTTTCTTTCTCCCATGAAGGCGCGGCTACCTTTGATGGGCGGGGCCTTCTGCCACCTTCAGAAATCTCGATATTGTTACAGCATCTGCTGATGCTCTTTCATTAATCTTACTCCGTTCCTTCATTCAAGGTACAACTAGCTGATATCATTATAATAAGAAGTTTTCTTTTTTTTTCCCTAAAGACTTACTTACAGGTTCTTGATTGCTGCAATACAAAGTGCTGAAACAGCTTCAACGACTTAGAAACCAGTCATACTAAATTATCCTTCAAACGACGACCGGGGATCTCAAGATGAAAAACAGTTTGTATACGTATTTACCGGTAAGGTTTTCTCTATATTAGCATGCCTTGTCTTTCCAATGGTGCTCAAAACTATATGATATATTATATACCTTATAAGTTACAAACTAAAACTCCTTTATATGCTCATTTACAAAATTATGCTAGGGTATCTATATATTCCAAACTTATGATAATTTTGTTTACTTCACTTTACATTCCTAATCAGAGGAGTTTTTTTGGGGGGGGCGGTTTTTGACACATCTATACACACATACGCTATAACATATCAATATATTTTCTACTTCTCTTCCTTTTCCTCTCGAGGTCCACCTTTTTATTTTCCTTTCCTTTCTCCTCTTAACTACTATGGGAGATTTATATTTAAATTTATTTTGTCCCAATTTTTCTTCCAGGCCTTTTGAACTCGTATAGAACAATACGAAGTTCTTTTTACCCTTCTCTGGAAACCGAAATTGCCCCCCCCTTTCTATATACCTTTTCTTCGCACCTAAGCTTGATTTTTCGCCCATCCGTGCAGAAAAACTTAGCGGGTACAAAACAAGGCATCTGTCTACTTTGTCTGTCTGACACATTTACAAGTCAATTCTTCGTCCACTTTTGTGCTTTGCAAGTCCAGTTTGGGTATATACCAAGAAAACTAATAGAAAAAGTTTTAAGTCTGCCAGAATAGTGTTCTACGAGTACGTAACAATAGAATACACGAAGAATAAGGCGTTGAGTTACTGCGCACTCACAATTACAAATTAGCCAAAACATTTCATGAACGGCAGCAGATTTTGATAATCCTAGCATTAAAATCTGTGATTACGACTACAATAGCCTGAGCAATGTGCATAGGCCTTCGGCCCAATTAGTTTGGATCATGTAAATTTGCTACTATAGTAACTTGCCATATTTTGTAACCATTATTGTTCCTCTTATCTGCTATTCCCCTAATTTTTTGTTTCACATTATAAAACAAATATATAAGGAATTTTGATGTCTTATAATGCAGAAACGACGACCCACAATGAATAGGAAATTTGGAGGCGAATGCAGATTAAATTTTCATTTTATTTTTAGCAACATGTTGCGGTTACACACAAGTCGGCACATTAAATGTGGTTGTTCCAAAAGGCCTACATTTTGATATATTTGTAGCAGGAAAGCAGAGCAGACAGACAGGAATGCAGCTACGTCCGCCAAAGCGTGGAAAGCAAGTGCGTAATGTTCAGGACGAAATCTTAAGTCAGACTGAGTTAGTTTTGATTCTTAAAGCATTTTGATTGGATAGTTAATATTGCTCTAAAATTACTATTGGCTGGTTGTGAGAGTTTTAGTTCCATTTACATCATCATAATTACGTAAGAGTCATATGACATAGATTTTTCTCGAATACTTAGGTGCAGTTCATGTGAAGCAGGCGCATCGAAATTCTCAACAATAGTATCCTCAGTGCATACAACACTGCTACCAAAAAAATTCCTATTGATAAAGACAATTTCCGTTTACCCAGAGAAATTAGAGATATGATTAAACAGAGAAACCGTTTGAGAAAAAGGTGGCATATCTCTTGGAACCCAGGGGTTAAGAAAGAACTTAATAGACTTAATAATATTATCAGTTGCAAGATTCGGAAACATCGGGATGAGGTCTGGAATAATAAAATTGAGAGCTTTAATGAAGCTGGAAATGATTTTTGGTCTTTTGCTAAAAACCTTAGGCGTAAGCCCCCTTGCAATAAACCAATTTATTGTAATAACAGAATTGCACTTACTCATAAAGAAAAAGCCGCCATTATGGCAGAGCACTTAGAACAACAGTTTGTACCGAATCAAGATCCCTGTGACCCTCTTTTCTCATCTTACATTCAGCAATTTATCAAAGACTGGCTCGACGGACCAGGGGCCAAAAATCGCACTAAATATACATCTCCGACAGAGGTTAAAAACATTATCAGAAACCTGAAAAACCGGAAAGCACCTGGCTATGATGAAATTACGAATGTTGCAATTAAAAATATGCCACTTAATACTGTCACACGATATGTCAGCATTCTCAATGCCTGCCTAGAAAATAACTACTTTCCCGAAAAATGGAAAAAGGCTAAAGTCATTCTTCTACCAAAGCCGGGAAAAGATGCCACCAAACCGGAAGGATACCGTCCGATAAGTCTACTCCCAGGACTTGGTAAGATTTTCGAACGGGTCATTTATAAAAGAATTGAACCGCATATGGATAAGCTCCCAATGGAACAATTTGGCTTCCGTAAAAATCTCTCAACGACAAAACAACTTGTTCGTCTGTGTGAATTTATTGGATCCGCTTTATTTAGACATCAAAGTGTCGCCTTACTCATGCTAGACGTGGCGAAAGCTTTCGACCGCGTCTGGCACGAGGGGCTCATTTTCAAGCTCATCACTCTTGATTTCAGTAGAGACCTCATCTTACTTATTAACTCTTTCATACGAAACCGCAAATTCTTTGTAAACTTTGGATATGAACACTCTGAGACCAATATCTGAAAGCCGGGGTAGCTCAAGGATCTATTCTTGGCCCAATTTTGTATACTCTTTTATGTTTATGATTTACCCAATAGTTTCTGATCTCAATACGTACCTCGGATGTTATGCAGATGACACCGCCCTTGCCGTGAAGTCACATAATCAAGATCACGCACTGATAAAACTTCAAGAAAAAATTCCAGCCATAGAAGAATGGGGCACTAAATGGAGAATTGCGATTAACGGACAAAAATCCCAATTGATTATCATCGGCAAGAAACATTCCGGAATCCCTTTGGACAAAAAAATTAATATCTTTAATGAAGAAGTGCCACCTGTTAAAAAGGCTACTTGTCTTGGTATAGTTTTGAATCACAGATTTACCTGGAAAGACCATATTCACAGTATTAAATGGAAGACCTCCTATACTATTAAAATAATCTCCTCCCTCTAATAGGTAAAAACTCCTAAACTTGATCTTCAAAAGGAAAACGACACATCTATACTGCAATTATCAGGACCAATTTTCTGTTACGCTTTCACCTGCCTGGGACGACCTACACTCAAAGTGACATGAAAAAACTTCCAAATTACGCAAAACAAACTTTCTCAGAGTTAATTA